TCTCCAAGCTCGCTATCGGGTGGGTTAGGGTGGGGGGTGGGGGCTGAGAGTGTGACCCAGTATCCTTCCACAAAGGATATTATAGCCTCTGTCACGTCTCCAAACAGCATCGACGATTTCTGCTTGTCCGCCTTTGGCTCGTTTTTCAAAAGGCTCCAAGGATTTCTAGAGCTCCCACAAATGGTATCGATTAACGATCGAAAAGTTTGGACTTTAAAAAGAGTTCCCGAAGCACGTGTATGAAGAGCATTTGTGTGAACACCCGGAATCTTTGTTGCGAAATTCCAGGTCATCTGTCTGGGCAAGAAAAAGCTGTAGATTTGATCAAAAAAGCAATCAAACAAGTTGTCGATATGCATCTTCCATACGGTATAAAACACTTTCACATTGGAACTGATGAGGCATTCCAGGTATGTTTTCTATAATATTCACTCTTTTATTCTTTACACTAATGTAATTAACGTTTCGAGGACTCTTCCCGTTTACCCCGTAACCACTTCGCGGACTTAAAGTGTGATATCTCGGAGAGAAATCCCTTAATGGTCCTGATTTTGGTTGACATTCAATTTTTTTTTCTCAAGTGTTTCGAGGATTTTTGAAAATTTATCCATCTATCGCTTGCAAAAATTATGAAAGAAACCTAAATGTTGCTTATATAATATTTGTCCTCAATAAAAGCACGGTCCGTACTTCTGATGGTAGCAAATGTTAACCTCGAGCAATTGTTTAATCCGAGTGCCTCTTTCGTGACACTTGTAGCATGCAGTAGGTCCTAAACACACTTCCTTCCTTTGGCACCAGGTTCTCTCCTTCGCGTTGGTTTACTGAGGATTAGCCTTATAGCCACACTCTTCTGGCGTTTCATCAAAAAGCGCCGGTGCTGACGCAGCTGTCGCAATTCTTTTTCCTGATTTCTGCACCGCTTTGGTAAGGCTCGTAGTTCGGCTACTTAGTTACGCTCTGCAATATCATAAGTTGAGTTCCAAGGGCTTTAACTGAACGATACTTCCCCAATTTTTCGTCTACACTAAACCCTTCACTGGCCGTCACTTGTTACACCACACCGAAAACTCTTATAAGCTTTGCAAGAGATTCGACAAACTCCTTGCTCTGACTGCAGTGTAGGTTCAGAATTTCACCCTTTGCATCAGCTCTGCGTTCGGTCCGGCTTACTACTACAGCTTGTTCAGGCAGCGAATTGCCAAGTGTTCCTCCTTAGCAACACTGATTGTACAGTATTCACGAGGATAACCCCTTGAAACAACAGTACAGAAGGAACAACAGCAAAAAAATAACAAGAAAAACGCCAGGGGTTCGATACTGCCCTCACCAAAACATCGTGGTCACTGCTTCGGCCCCCAAGTTGCTAGAGGTAGTGAGTAGTAAGACAACGCAGTCTTGAAAGGATCTAGTCACCAAACAATTTTTATCATAATCAGTAGAATTGGAACACAGAAAAAGAACAAAGTATACAATACAAAGAACAGTGTCAGAACAGAGGTGCTGGGAAAGTGGCAGGCTGATCACTAGATGAAAAATATGCAAGGCCGAGGGCTGTGCAGGAAAGGTGTTCCAGAAGCAGACTCAGACTCCAAGACGACGGACAACGGTGAAAAGTTTTGAGCTGCTCCCACTGCCCTATTCGATAGTAGGCCGCCTGTCAAGTGCACGCCAAAATGGTTAATAATCGTCGGTCAGCCACGTTTCCCGCGCAGTGATTAGCCTTCCACAGCAGCATAACATAACCAACAGCACACTAACAACACATTACATAATAGACCACATTTATTCCAGCTGCACCTGATAGAAGACGAAACAATACTTCGAGCACTGTAGCCTTATGTTCTTGAAGGACCACTTCATGTTGGCCGAATGAGCATGGGTCACTTTAGGAAATAATTTCATCGATAGTTTGCTTTCTGCCGCAAGATTTGAGGCGAAAGTGCCATGTCGAGTCAGCTGGCTAGGAGTGCAGGTTTGCGCGCACTGTCGCCTCTTCGAAATAAAACACGTCCTGTGGTCCTCCTGGAAACATAGGCTTCCTGACGGTGAAGTAATGCTGAAAATAATCACTTTTTCAGTATGGGACGTGCGACTATTCAAATAAACTGCTAGGTAAAGACGTTTGGCCTGAGGATCTGGCTCTCAAACATATTAAAGCAATTGCTACCTATACAAAATCGATTGCAACGGAGGCACAGTTAGTTCTTTGTTTCTTATAGTCTGAGAAGTAAGGAATAAAAATCTGGATGAAAGAGTCAACTTATATATTACGCCATTGTTTTCCGGGAGATAAGGATGGTGCAGTAGACTGAAGATCTATGCTGGAGCAATGTGCATAAACTAACCAATCTTACCTAGCTAGTTGATCTAGCATTTAATAGTATTTTCGCGCTCTATCGGTGGTGTGAATGTTTTCACGTGACGTCACTTTCAACGGGTATGTGACAAGGCAATTGTAACAAGCCGTGTCGGTGAGCGGCGCAGGAGCGACAGACGAGTTGTCCTGCCCTGCTATTTGAACTTGGATGTTGAAGACGGCGTCCGCGGTCAACCAAGGTGCAGAAATCCTATAGAGTACAAGATGGCGGAGCTTGTGGTCACAGCGGATATCCCTTTTTCGCGGCTCAAAAGCGCTTGATAAAAGCACGACAGCTCAGCAACGATAAGCTGACTCCGCCCATGAAGGCGGAGTCAACAAGTTCCACCTCGATCATTTTTCATTACCAAGATTCGTTAGCGGTGATAATTGCTAATCTTATCGAATATGCCTTGGAGAATGAGCCGCAGCAAGTGGCGATTAGATACAGAGAACTCGCCAAAATTTAGTTAAAGGCAGCGTCCGCGATCAACCAAGGTGAAAAACCCTGTACTGTACAAGATCGCGGAGTCCGCAACCACAGAGGATATCCCACTCCTGCGACTCGAAATCGATTGATAGACGAAGGCGGAGTCAACATAAGCTGACCCCGCCTGTCCTGTTAATCCCGCCTCGATTGGTTTGCCGTTATCAATCCTCGCTGGCATTGATAATCGCTAAATTTCTAGCGTTCGTTTCGTACACTGATAGAGAGATTAACTCATAGACAGATCGATTATCAATGCCAGCGAGGATTAATTAGATTAGATAAGATAACCTAGGTAGTGGCCTCATGAGAATTAGCCGCAACGAGGCGTTTCGGAGAACTCACCCAAAATCTGCGAAACTCGTCCAGATGCGTCCGATCGTCTCAATCTATGTTTCTTGAGGCGCTTTTTGTTTAGTTTTTTCGATTAACGCTTCAGTTGCCACATCTAACAATTCTGAGTCCTACAACCGGAACCGAGGAACCCGCGAAAGGCGATCGCGGGCGCAGTCTTTAGAGGGAACGGGAGATTTAGATACCACTCGTCATGAAGTCGTGTCTCTGCCTTACTTCATTCGAGTTTCGAACTGATGCACATCGAGTGTTTGCCGCGCTTCGCCGCCTGCGACGACGCGACAATTTATGACTGTCTGTCCGTCTCTCACTTCCATCATCGCTTTCACCACGATGCCGCCTCGTGCCTGACGCCTCTCGACTGACACCCACGTAATTGCTATCAAATATCGACCACTAGTAGGTTCGGAACGGTGTCGACTAACTGTGAGCCCAATTCCAAATTCTACCAGAGATTGAAAATTTATCATGGGATGTTGCCACCCGTTCGGATTTTCTCTGACAGAGGGCCATTGAAAGGGATTGATAGAGTTGATAGAGCTTCTTCCGAAGGCCTTATGTTCCCATTCCCTACGAACCAGCTACCTCGTCAATTCCACTCGCAGGCTGAAGGGCGAAGTAACTCAGTGCTAGTTTGCTCCCAAAAATAGTCAAGTGCCGTTACAAATTTAGAATCTACGGTACTGTTTGGCTGGAAAAGGGAGGGGGAGTGGGTAGAAGGAATTTTGCACTTGCGCTAGTTTTTTCTCTCAGTTCTTGTTGAACAACAGATTTATCACCGAAGTGAGGTCGGCAAACTCTTGAGAAAGTGAAAAGGAGTTCATAATGGTCACCTGCACGAGCTTAGCTGCGTATCATTCGTTGCCCCACCAAACCGACTTGAAGACTGAGTTTAGTAGTTAGACAGTAACTGGACACTAAAAGGATAAAAAGGATAAAGTCTTCGCCGTTGATCAATCCCTTTGTGGGATGCGGCACGCATTCTACTTCCATTCAGAATCGCTTATTGAATGCGATGTGGCCTATACAATGACTTGCGGTGGCCAGATGTACAAGTCAGTGTTTTATCCTCCCAGACGAATCTGGTACCAATTCACCGTCCCCGGAGGGTAGAAGGCTTGGTTGGCCGAGTGGGGAGGCAGGGATAGCCGAGTGGTTAAGAAAGGCGGCTCGTGTTCGCAACCACGCTGAAGTAGGTCACGAGTTCAATCCCTGCCGAGGCACAAACCATGCCTTGCAAAAATTGCAAAAATGGGACGATACCAGCGTCAGGCCCAGGTTGACAGGCCGGCTGATGGAGGAACCCGTCACAACAATCATGACAAGTCGCAAAAGTATCAGTGTAAAAGCTAGGACGTCACCCGGAAGTGGCGCGCAGAACCCTCGCCCGAGTTCTGTGGTCAGTATGCGAGGGCTACCGAGGGGTGAACGACCTCGGCCAAAGAAGCTAGTTCGAATAGGGACCCTGAACGTGGGGTCGCTTACCGGGAAGTCTCGTGAGGTTGCCGACCTCATGAGACGCAGGAATATCCAAGTCCTATGCCTTCAGGAAACGCGATGGAAGGGTGCGAAGGCCCGCGAGATTGGAGAAGGTGTCAAACTCTTCTACAATGGAGCAGACACCAAACGGAATGGCGTGGCCATAGCGGTGGCAGAATCCCTCAAGGACTGCGTCTCTGTGAACAGGATCAGTGACCGGATCATGGGAGTGAGAATGGACACGAAGGAGGGTACTGGACAGTACTGACCGTGTACGCACCACAATCCGGCTGCTCCGAGGCGGAAAAGGATGAGTTCTACCTTATCCTGGACGAGGCCATAAGATCGGTTCCAGAAGACGATTACCTCACCATAGCTGGGGATCTGAATGGCCACGTGGGAAATGACAGAAGAGGCCTAGAAAGGGTGCACGGAGGTCAAGGAATAGGAGCAGAAATGCTGAGGAGAACGGATCCTTGACCTAGCCACAGCCCACGACTTAGCAATCTGTAGCACCTTCTTCGCGAAAAGGAGGACTCAGAAGATAACCTACAGCAGTGGAGGGAGACAAACGGAAATCGACCATGTCCTGGTCAGAAGATCGTCTCAAAACCGTCAAGGATATCAAGGTACTGCCTGGGGAAGAGCTGGGCCCTCAGCACAGGCCTCTCCTGGCAGATATCGCGATAGACCTCCCCAAGAAGGCGAGAGTGAAAACAGAGCGAAGGATTCGCTGGTGGAAAATGCGGAACGCAGAAAGGTATAGCCTCGGCCGAAGGATACTGGAGGCTGGGCTCCCGGACCCACATGGGCCAGTCCAGGACACCTGGACCACGCAGCAGAGGTCATCCTACAGTGTGCAAGGGAAGTCCTGGGAGAGACGCGAGGCGGTATCAGAGGAGACACCTGCTGTACCGTACATCC